CCGGAAGAGATTCAGCTACACGTCGCTGGGTGAAGAACGTGGTTGAACCGCACCTCTCGCAGCGACGGTGAAAGTCCACTACGTACGGTGACGTCGCAGGCTGGAGATAGCCGCTGGGTCGAGCGACGCCTCTGTTGACGATGCGCAGTCTAGTAGAGACTCTGGTTCCGGTAGAGAGGGAGGAGAGGGCGTCGCCAGTGAGGGTTGGTAGAGAGAGAAGAGAGAAGGCGGACGCCGGAGAGATGAGAGCAGACGGGAACAGGAGAAAATTGGAAATAGGATCAGGGTTTGAGATAAAAATTATCTATTTAATATTTAAAATTGAAATATCTGATTTTTGAAAAGTGAAACTTCCCATTTGATTTTGGAAAAGTGAAGTTGAAAAGAAGGGTTTTGTGTAATTACCACTTATACCAAATAGGGTCTAAACCTAATGAAGACACAACCTGTTTCGGCGGAAAGCAATACACAAAAGTCCAAGTAACCAAAATAAAGCCCAAGAAACCAAGCAGCACGATAAAGCCCATTACGAAGTAGGGTTTCCCCATTTCGTGTAAACACAAAACCCTACGCATCCTTTCAAACATTCCCACACACACCCCACCGGAAGAAAATCTCGTCAGAAATGGTGACTTACAAGGTAATTCCTCCACTTTATACGCATGTGGTGTTTGTTTAATGAAATTAGTGTTTTGAGATTTCGATGTATTTGATATATGAATTTTGGGCATGTTTGTACATATTGCAGTTTCATCAGTACCAAGTGGTGGAGAGAGCTCTACCAACGGAGACAGATGAGCACCCGAAGATCTACTGGATGAAGCTCTGGGCCACCAATGAGGTTCGCGCCAAGTCCAAATTCTGGTTCGACCTACGCTATAATTAATATATAGCCTACACTGTATATATTTAATTCAATGTGATTGTATAGAATGGGTTCTGTAGGTGATTATATAGTGAAACGGATTGTTATTTTGATTTTTAAAGGTATTTCCTGAGGAAGCTTAAGAAGGTGAAGAAGAGCAACGACCAAGTCCTCGCTATTAACGAGGTGCGCCTTCATT